CTGGAAGCATCCTGATGCCCTTTTAAAAAAAGTTTTGTGGTTGGCGGAGTATCCATTCCCGAACATTCTGGATGACGGTGTCATTGTCCACAAACCGCATGCCTTGGAAGTCTGATTTCAGCCTTCCGAACAGGTAGAAATCACTTGGTGCCAAATCGGGACTGTACGGCGGACGTGTCAGAAGGTTCCATTTCAATTTCCAGAGGGTTTCCATTGTTGTTTTGGCCGTATGGGGGCTTGCATTGTCTTGGAGGAAGGCTACCCGCTTTCCACCTCTCTTCCGCTTGGATCGGATCTTTTCCTTCACGTCTGTTGCCAGGAGGTCTGAGTAATAAGCTGCATTGACTGTTCTGGCATCTGTCAGAAAGTCTACATGGATAACCCCCTGCCAGTCCAAGAAGGGGGCTGCCATCACTTTTCCTGCCGAATGGCTCCTACGTCCTCTCTTGGGTTTGGGAGAACTGGTATGCCGCCACTCGCATGATGATTGCTGGGACTCGGGAATGAAGTAGTGCACCCAAGTTTCATTGGTGGTCACTACAGACTTCAAAAATGCATCACCTGCTTCGAACTGCTGTAGGAGATGAATGGCAACTTGCATGCGCACCATTTTGGTCACGTCCGTCAAAGTGTGTGGTACCCACCATACATTCACCTTGCAATAGTGCAGGTGATATTTCACAATGTCTTCTACACTACCAACACTGATGAAGACAATTGCTCCAAGTTCATTGATAGTGATGCGCCTACTCTCACGAATTAGTGTGTCTTCACGATCAATGTTTGGCTTGGTGACTGATGTTCGCGGCTGACGATCATGTGGTTCATTCTCCACGAGCTCTCTGCCCTCTCTTAAAGCACTTACACCACTCAAACACGCGGGTCCGTGAGAGACACTCTTCCCCATACTGTTGTTGGAGTCTGTGGTGAATTTCAGGGGATGGGACGTTTTCTCCGAGGAATTTGATCACAATGCACTGTTCCATGCTCTGCGGTACCTTCTGTACACTCATCACTCTGGCAACTCCCAGACAGCACTGAACAGGTTCTAACCCTAACAGGAGGGAGAGTGGAGGTCGTGGCTACAATCTCTCAAGGTCGCACAGCTACTGTGCAGTGCACCTTGTTTACAAAAAAATCAGTCCCGGTCATATTTGAACCACCTAGTACAATATACATTTTATTTTATGTACAGCAACAGGTTGGTCAAATGAAGACTATTACTTAGTTGCACTTGACTGTGAAAACTAATGAATCAAATGTTATATATGGCATGGACTTTGATCATAAACAAAAATTTCACATCAAAATTTAGTATTATTTGCTAAAGATGTAAATCCTGACCCAGTTACATTTTACTGTTTTAAGGAATCAGAATCTGTGTAAAACATTAAATTGTATAATTTAATATACAAAAGCCAATATGATAACATAATTTGTTCACACTCATAGGAGAAGTAGATGTTCTCACTGTTTGACAACTGGCTTTGACATATTGTTCAATAACATATGTACACTTTCAGATTTTGTATTAGAAAATACAGTTGTGTGTTCCTTTGCCTGTGGAAACAGAGGCTATGGACTTCAGGAAAAAAAAAAAAACATTGAAATGAAGTAGTTTGTAGTGTAGTTTGCTGTTTCTCACATAATATGTTTTGACCAAAAGTAACCTATGCTGTCAAGAAGGGGAAGGCAGAGGATACGAATGATAATATGATAGACAAATAAAAGAGATGGAACAGAACTGCGTGGAAATGTGAAGAAGATAAGGGTATGTCTTCCTGCTGACTTTCAATGAGTATTACATACAGTAGTCAATCCGTAATCCAGTACCTCTACATTGTACTGACAGCATCAAACCAGGGGCCGCCCACACACATACAATTTCATAAGTACAACCTAATACACATCATTTCCGTAGATTGAGCTTAACCTTTAACGCCTGAAGTGCCCTGATCAGGCCAATGATGAGTATGGTCGCCATGGCCAAAGTACCCCGATTTGGCCAGTCGGGCATTTAAAATCCACTAGTGGAAGGGCGCACATACACAGTCCTAAATATTCATTTTTAAATGTAGTAATTACCAGACAGACTTGAGTAAAACCCTAAAAGAGGAATTAAAATGATACCTTAGTGAACAACAAAAAAAGGAGTATACATATGAGTTACAACCAAACTCATCCATGAGCCAGTACTTTTATAGCAGATTCTGCAGATTAATGTGTTAAAAATATATAGTAAAATTCGATGTACATACCTTTTTTTTGTTGTTATCTGCTTAATGTATATACAAGCAGAAATGAAACTACAGTATTTGATTTCATCATGAACGCACAGAAAACAGATCACACTCTGTATCTCAGCCACAATGCAACTGCCCGTTCATGACTAAAGAAAGGGCAATAATCTCTTGCAGCTATAACGGAATGTCTTAGCAGTGAAGAAGGGACCGCTGATTTGTTCCCTCTAGCTTTTTCTTGAATAGAAATGCTTTCATTCTTCTACCGTTTAGTCAATAGGTTCGAAAATATGAAGAGTGTAACAAATACGTGAAAATTGCCAGCAGAAGACCAAATGATTTTATTGCTTCCATCTGTTTTCTGACACCAGGTAAAATATGTCAAGTGTTACAAGCAGGACTGATTTTATGATGCAGAACAACTCTGTGAATAACCGGGAAATCATTTTTACAGTACACAACAAAATAAAAAAAAAAATGAAAATAAAGTATATCTCTATGTATAAAAATCTGCAAATCATATGTTATAATATGCGACACTATGTTCTTTGCTGATATAAACAAAGTTAATTCCATCTGTTTATCATAAAAATTCTGTTAGATACAGCATTTTAAAACACAATGCTTAAAATCTGTTAAGAACCGTAACAGGAACAGACATTTAAACATGCAACAGCAGCGGTCATTTAAATAAACTCCGGCCTGCTCAAGCTTACCAACATTTCAAAAGCCCAGCGTTTAAAGGTTAAGCTCTAAAAAACTTTACCAAGGTCATGGCTACATGACCTGTCCTATTCAGATGATCACGTTATGTAAGCCCCCCATGCTGTAGTCACTCCATCTGGCTAAAAACCTAGCCTATACGTAGTGGTCACCAAATTTTACCAACAAAAAACTATCTCAATTTTTTCATGTCTTAATATTTGTTCATTTGTTTTAATATTTTAATTTTTATCTTCAATTCTGTAACTTTAATACAACTTTTATTTAAAAGTTATGGCTTTAAATTCTGCCCAAGTTTTGTTATACATTTACTTTTGAATTTCATTTTCAAGATGCAATAAGGATCCTTATTCACTGAAAAATGACAATTGAATGCAACTCAACAGCTCACACTGGTACATTGTATGCCTGAAGATGACCCATGAAAGGGTCAAAACATGTTGCGTCTTTATTAAAACTAATAAAAGCAAATGTTGATGCAGTAGTATCTTCTTTGTTAAAGGCACAATAGATCACTGTGGTCATGGTGCACAGGCCAAGAAGGCCCAAACCTTAAGGCTCCCACACACAGACACGATACGATTTGGGGCGATATAGCACTCGGGACGAAAGCGGCTGTTTACCGAGTGGGCCGTGCACACAGACACAACACTCGGAACTCAGGAATCTTTGACACCCGATAACCAGCTGGCCATGACTCACACTCAATCAGTATCTATACGTACGTGAAACGACATGGGTAGCGAAATGGAACAAATAATAGAGTTCGTCAAAGAAAATGCTTTATTGTACGATACTCGTCATTCGATGTACAAGGATTCACATGCTAAGGATAGAAAGTGGAAGGAATTGGCTGTTACAATGAACAGAGACAGCAAGTAGAAAAATTTGTATATATTTATATAGGGTTAAGTACACCGTAACTGTGGGCATTCTTAGTGTAGGCTATGCATCAGTTCCGTTCACTAACACGAATTCCAGGAGCAGTCATCTAGTTGAAGTACGCAACAAACCGCTCTCTAATGGCGTAGCTAACGTTTGCCGCCCTTGGGAGACGTAAAGGCTGGATAGGGAACATTTCTCCTTCCAATGGCTCCACTCGTAGCAGTTCTTCCCTGTACTTTTCATCACAGTTTTTGAGACGTAGAAAATTATGAAGCAAACACGCTGCTGATACAATGTGTTTTATATTTCCTCCTTTCAGTTCTATGGGTCTCAAAAAATTCTCCACTTCATGGCAAGAATAGGCCTCCACCAATTGGTATATTGTTTAGTGAAATCTTCTTGCCCGATGGCTCTCAGGATTTCAATCAAACCTGTCAATTTTCATCCTGAAATATATGTACAACCGTTTTTCGTCCTTCAGGAGTTGAGGTATCAATGTATAAAACTCCCCCAGTTCCTCTCTTGACAAGTTTATATCATGAATCCAAGTGATTCGTCTCTTTCGCCTAAAATACGAACACACATAGCAACCACTTATATGTACTTAATTAGAGACTCGTTATGGAATTGTAAATATTTGTACATATATATGACATACTGAATATTTGGAGGAAAAGAACTACGCAGATTTAGTGTTCAGTAAAATACTTGCTGGGATTCACCTTCGTCTTCATCAAGAGCGACAGCTAAAAGCAAAACTTCTTCCTCCAAATACTTATCCATGACTATTTACCGCTGCGACACCGCGCGGTCTACCGAGTGCGCTCGGTAGACCGAAATACCGAGGCGATATACCGACTGCGATAATATCATGTTCCTCACAGTACCGCGCCAGTTTGCGGACCTCCATTTACCGCAATGTAATTAGATATCGTCCCGTACCGTACCGAGCTGAGTATAACGTCTGTGTGTGGGAGCCTTTATACATTCATGTTCATTGTTTTGAATACTGATTGTTGTTGTGTACAGTACATTCTATCGCTTATATATCTTATTCGTGCTAGTCTGTTTATGGAGATTTAATTATTTAAAGAAGCAAATAGTAAAGTTCCTCCTAGAACATGCAGTACATACAATTCATGTGTACCTCACCTGGGTTTTCTGGGTCCCTCCTGAATTTTACATTTTTGAGATTAACATGGTTCATTCCATACAAATTATAGTCTATCATGAACTGAAGGATATAAGGAAGATGGGCTTCATGTGGTTGGTATATCTTGTTCAGGATTGCACCACTCTGAAATACACAATAAACAATTCATTTGGCATATATAACATTTAAATCCTGTGAACAGTGAAAAACACTTCAATTTAGAATACACATACTTCAAAAACAACATACACAATTATGCTTATCTCAATGGTCTTGATATTAATTTATTTTAGAAAAGACGTATGATATATCCTAAAAGCATCTACAGGTTAAAAACTCTTGCATTTACATTACCTGTAACAACTCAGCAGCCTTCTTGACCATAAGTGGGTTATAAAAATAGATTTTGAAGTACTGGTGCTCTTTAGTGTGGAATCCATAAAATGGCCTGCAATTATAGATCAAACTCATTCTTCTGCAGAAAAAATGAACACAATAATTTAGGACCATGGTTGTTTTAAACAAATAAAGGGAACCAGTCAAAAAAAATGACAAATTAAATAAATATAGAGATAACAACATAGCACGCTATGAACAAATATAGGACAACAACAAGAACTGCCTTCCCAAGAAAGACAGGCGGCACAAGTTCGGCCCCATCAAGAAAATGAATGGACAAGGGACACAGACCTATTTGGTTAAAGGATTTTAACACAAATAACAAAAAGTTTAAAAAAAAACTTTAATGCATCAAAGACAGTTGCTGTAGTTGTAAGAAATTTGGATTTTGTAGAAAGTGTATATTACAAATATTGTATATTTATGTATTTTAAAAATCAAAACACCCAATGTAATAGTAGTTTCTAAAAGTATTGTCGTTCCCTCCGATGACAGTCTATAAGGACCGAAACATGTTAGGGTGCTAAGAAGGGAAGTAGTAAAAGCTTCAACAGTCACACTGGACGGAATTGTTTTGTCATTTGTGACATATATGTATGGTTAGGGGTCTGCATGAAAAATAATTTTTTTTAAGGGGATATCCTGCTACAGCATAGAATTGGGCGTGTGTTGCATAGGTGTGCAACAAGATGAAAGAAGAAAATGGACAAAAGAAGAAAAAGAGGAAAAGAAGACATACAGCTATAACAACATTACTTCAATCCTTGATACCATACTGCATTCTATGTAACTGATCTCTGGATGAGGAATGCGTAGTTACATACTTCAAAAATTGTGGTATATTATGAATATCTGTTAGAACCAGAATTTTTATAAACTTCATAAACTGTTGTAATATCAAGGTTGCACTGTCTTGCATTACAAGTGCTGAATTAGCTTCTCACCTTAATGTACACACTGTTTCATGTGTTTACACATGACCACTATACACCACTTCCACGCTCATGATCCGACTCAGACCACTGATTGCACAACCATAACTTTATGCTGGCTATAACTGTGACCATGCAATTCCAATTCTAGCCTTTGATGGAAAGAAGAAGAATGGGGGGGGGGCAACAGGAATTATCAAAGTTTCAACACAGAGCAGCATGCACTAGTCAAGCTGCCCTTCTCCCCTCCCCATCAGTCTCATGACAATGTGAACTTCGATCCATTCTCCAACAGATAGCTCATTACTTTTTTCTATTGTATGATTCTGTCTATGAATATACTCTTAGCTTTCTATGGTATGGGTGGATTACTTACTGGACACTACCACCTAAAAGGACACCTTTTCAAGTTGGGACTGACAGATAACCCAACTTGTGAAAGGTGCCTACAAGAAAACAAATCAGCCACACACATCCTGTGTGACAGTGAGGCCATAGCTTATTTAAGATTTAATCACTTGGGTCAGTTTTTTATGGAACCAAGTGACTTTTATGATGCCCCCATAAGCAGGGTCCTACACTTTATTAAGAGTGTGGGATTAATAAAGGGATAATACAAGAGGAAGCACAATAGATCATTGAAGGTCGGAGTGCGGGGCTGGTTTTTATGGCCCACCCCTTACATATATACATACATAGCTTTCTATGCACTGATTTATGGACAATGGCAATCACGCAGCAACATATTCATAATGGCAATCCTAGTCACGACTGTTGCAATTTTGCAAACATATGAGAATTCTAGGATTGAAATGTGTTTCACTTGTCATACACATCTTTAATGCCAAGCAATGATCGCCTTTCCTTCAAGCATATTGTCACATGTTGGGTATGTCACGCAACAAATAACTTCACACCATATTGGATATAGTGAATTTACTGCATATTCACGCTTACATTTACACAATTTACAGCCTCACAACTACTGCCATCGGCAGTATCACAATTACTTCTCCTGTTTCCATGCACTCCAGCAAATGATAAGACTGCAAATGACTGGTTACTTTGGTAATCCTCTCGTTGTGTAGCTTCTGCACTGACAACAAAGAAAACAGTTACATGATAGCTACTACTGTTAAGTAATGTCCAAATCTCCCTGAAGATGCTCCTCTTACGCCATGCCACTGTTGCACGGCAGGACGCCTTCCTGCAGGCAGCAGCCAACTCCATCCGGGATCCACAATCTTCTTGGGTCAGTTTCTTCGGCTCTCCGCGTCGCCCTGCAGCTTGCTTCTTGCCCTTATGCCTCCTCTTCTGTCCCTTAACCGGTTTCACTACGGCATCTTCATCGGGGGCTTCTCGTTTTTGGGCCACCTAAGGTTTCCTGTCCACTGAGGTCAGCAGTTTTTCTCCTAGACTTGGCTCCATCTCTTGGTAGGCCATCGTCTCTTTTCGGGTAAATGACGTCACTTCTTCCTCAGGTTCTCTGACCGGTATCATTATGGTGTCTTCTATGGGGACCTCTTCTTGTTCTGCCACCTCAGGTTTCGTGTCCACTGAGGCCAGCTATTCCTCTTCTAGACGTGCCTCCGTCGTTTCTTGACAGGCCATCATCTCTTCCTCTATTTCAAGTTTAAATGTGAACATCTCCTCGTGCCTGGTGTCCATCCTTTTTTGCATGGCTTTTTTCCTTGCCTGAATGGCTCTCATTTCTGCTTGGATGGCTTCCGTTTCTGCGGCAGTCTTTTCTCACCAAGCAGCCATCTCTTCTCGCCAGGCTTTCCTGTCAGCCGCCACCTTCACCTGGTTGGCGTTTAAGTTTTCTTGGTTGGCATCTAATTTTGCCAGCATTTCAATTATTCACTGTATATCTTGCTTCTCCATTTTTTCTAGGATAACACTCAATGCATTTGTGAATTCAACAATTGCTCTTAAAGCGAGGCGTGTTTCAGTTCGTAGACACTTCTGTCATCAAATTGTCACGTGTTGGATATATGTCATGCGACAAATAACTTCACGCTGTATTGGATGTAGCGAATTTATTGCACATTCGCTCTTACATTTACACAATTTACAGTCTCACAACTACTCCCATCGGCAGTATCACAATTACTTCTGTTTCCATTCACTCCGGTGAATGAGAGACTGCAAATCACTGGTTACTCTGGTAATCCTCTCATTATGTAGCTTCTGCATTGACAATACAGAAAACAGTTATGTGATAGCTACCACTGTTGCATAACGTCGTGTTTACAGGTGTTGCTGGGTAACGCTACCGAGTTGTTTATTGCTGTGTAGTAACCGCGGTGTCCCTTGTTATGTCACTGTGGGAAGTGCTGTTACATCACCAAGGGGGAGGGGGGTGGAGTGTTGACTGGCTTGTTACCGTAGCAGCGGCAGTTGCTCCGATGCTGTTACAGCACCGCTGGAGGGGGGTGGGTGTCCTGCATAGTGCAAATACATCACAATATGTATGGTGGATGTATCAGACATTTTCTAACAATGCTATTTCAACCGTAGAAGGTATGGAGAAGTGACTGGTACAAGAGGATGCTTACAATTGGTAAACATGATATGACTGAGGAGCCAGTGGCTATAGCCTATTTCTAGGTACATCCCGATGCTTGGAGAGACTGAGGAAAACCTTACAAAGCTTTATATCCAACATGAAGAGACATTACACACAAAAAACATTAAACCTACATTCTCACAAACCTTGCAGATAAAACTGCAGTAATAATAAAATAGAAATTCAGTTGCCTGCAGCATGGCACAAAGAAACTAAGAAGGCACCATGGTCTTTAACTTTATGATATCATGCTCTAGTGGGTACCAACAATTCAGAGGAGCATAACTACAGTCTGTGCCAAAAGTAAAGTACTGAAACTTGCGCATCTCAAATGAACATGTGTTTGTCAAAGGGGCACAGCTCCAGCCACAGGTGTTCCCAGTAGTGAAAAGGAAGTGGTGTTGTGCAGTTTTTGGGAATGGGTCTCTCGAAGGAGGAAAAAGTATTCATAGTTGAGTATTATTTCCACTCATATGGAAGTGGTCACTGGACAACTCGCTTCCTTGGTCTTGAGCAGCCAGATGTTATCGTCCAGAAACCGTACATAGTACACGTGTGACGATATGGTGTGCCATCTCAGCACATGGTATATTAGGCCCTTATTTCAATGAGGATGAGGAAGGCAATGCTCTTACCATCACCCAAGAATGCTACGAGACATGGTGATTGGACCATTTCTTCAGGATTTCAGAAGGTTCTGTAGTGCAAGGGGCCTTCACATGAATAGACAGTGGTATCAACAGGATGTCTTTTCATTTTAGTACTGTATATTTTGGGGCCTACTGTACCTCCAAAACAATACCCACAATATAACTCTTTGCTGCTCTAAAAACCGTAGACCTTGTAATTAAGAGAAATATGTTCAGCTATGATAAAATTCATTCATTCATTCATGAGTAATCTGTCAGACGACAGGTCCACAGCCTCTTCCAAAACAGTTCCTCCACTTAATGCGATCTTCTGTTTTTGGGAAGAGACTATCCAGGAAAAGTGATAATGTGGTAGTTTTTCCATTTGCTTTCCACACGTCTCATTAGCCTTGCTTGTTACATTGAAATTTCTGTTTAACGAACTCTACTGGAATGGTTTTTCATACATCAAATATGGGTTTTCATTAAATGGACGTTATGCAACAAATATGCATAACTACTAATTATAATCATTTAGCTAACATAAGATTCCTCCTCTTCACAGCCACCATAGCAAACAGCAAACAAAAGAAACACTCTTGAAGAAATTCAAAACTTATAATATCACTCATCAAAGATTACGGTTGAGAGTGATGATTGGATAGAGAGAAAAAATGCTAGTACCAGTTGTCATTTCAGCCATAGTGACACTAAATGGGCGTATGAAAATTGAACACTAAATGCAGGTTATTTAATAAATTGAAATTCATTAGATGCAGAAGAAATGTACTGTTAAATGGGACTTTGACTGGGACCACAAGAAATGTTGACCAAATACCGTATTTTAGTGCATATATTTTATCATATATGCACTAAAATACGGTATTTGGTCAACATTTCTTGTGGTCCCAGTCAAAGTCCCATTTAACAGTACATTTCTTCTGCATCTAATGAATTTCAATTTATTAAATAACCTGCATTTAGTGTTCAATTTTCATACGCCCATTTAGTGTCACTATGGCTGAAATGACAACTGGTACTAGCATTTTTTCTCTCTATCCAATCATCACTCTCAACCGTAATCTTTGATGAGTGATATTATAAGTTTTGAATTTCTTCAAGAGTGTTTCTTTTGTTTGCTGTTTGCTATGGTGGCTGTGAAGAGGAGGAATCTTATGTTAGCTAAATGATTATAATTAGTAGTTATGCATATTTGTTGCATAACGTCCATTTAATGAAAACCCATATTTGATGTATGAAAAACCATTCCAGTAGAATTCGTTAAACAGAAATTTCAATGTAACAAGCAAGGCTAATGAGACGTTCATTATCCAAACTTAAAGTATCTGACAATTTCAACTTGAGATTTCCATATGGTGTCAGGCCTAAAAGCTCAAGTTTTCATATTCTACATAATATTAACAAAATCAATGTAAGTACTGTATAATAATGAAATTTTCTGCTCAACAGATGCACTGGTTATGCTGTCATTACTCTGGACTGTCAGAGCCCTGTTTCTGAAAAAAGAAAATATACAGGTAAGAAGCTTTAGGATTTGCTTCTTCTCTCTTACACCATACCATGCCAATGAACAAAAAACTTACAGTCCAGATACAAGGGTCATTTTGAAAACATGTTGCACTGTAGCATTTGCTTTTCCCAGTGATATATTTAGGGCCTTATCCAAGCTGGATGCTATCTGATACATGAGTCTGTCATGTGCTCCAGATCCTTCAAATGGAATGTACATGTATGGAAAAACTCCATGGACGTGCAAGCATGTTTTCTTTCCTGCAAAAGGAAGATTAAAAAAATTAAAATCATCTGTAAGAACAAACAAACACAACTATCTCAGATGTTAATACAATCAATACCATTGTTTGTTCATGGTTTATATAATAAGACTTTAGAAGCTCAGACTATATAAGGTCAAATAATAAGTATACGGATAAATTAATTGGAAAGAACATGGAAGGATATGGCTACGATCTATTTCAGGTACCAGTCCAGAATCTGCCAGATTGTGGAAAACCAAGAAAACTTCAGCCCAGATAGCTTGTCAGGGCATCCTGAATACAGACAGAAGTGTTACAGACTCAGCTGCAACATACAGTTCAGTCAATCATGACCACAAAGATATGTTTCCTTCAATTTAATCGGATGATAAATCTGAATGTGAAGGAATCCCCATATGCTGGGTAATTTCAAGTTTTCCTTCATTTAAAGTTCAATATCAGTGACTCCAAACAAATGACCTGAATGCTAAATTTCTGTAATTTACACTTATATTCTTCTTTTGCACAGCAGTACCAGAGGGGGGGAAGGGGAACTGCATTATGAGACACTTCATACTTTGTACTCTTTTCAGCAGATACTATTAAGCTAATCAAATCAAGGAGGATCAGATGAGGGGCATAAGCAGCATACATGGGAGCTGAGAAATGTGTACAAAATTTGCTCAGAAAACCTGAAAGGAAAGATCATTTGGAAGACGCAGGCATAGATGGAAGAATATCAACATGCATCTTCACAGAATGTGGCGTGAGAGTGTGGACTGGATTCAACAGGTTCAGGATGCAGTCCAGTGGCAGGCATTTCAAAAATGGTAATGGAACCACAGGGTTCTTTAAAAGGTGGGAAATTTCTTTACTATCTGAATGACTATTAGCTTCCCAAAGAGGAATCTGCTCCATCAAACAAGTCAGTTCTTTCAAGCACAGAAGTATAAACAGGAAAACTGTATACAAAATGCTGTAAAAGGTCATTATTTAATGTTACAGCCCTAACATGCATCACATTAATCAACATCAATGTTGGATTTTGTATTTAAAATAAGCTTGCAACCAGCACTCTCTTCTAAAAACATGTCATCTGATGCTCTCACACTTGGGTTTAGCCTCAAGGTTCAAATGTACAACAGGCTACCACATGAACAGCTTCTTACTTCTGATAAATTTGCTGGTATACATAAATTAATTTGTATTATATCAGCTTAGACTGGACAACTTCTAGCTGCCCCTCAAGCACTGAGACCTCCACTGGGCCCATTTTGTGCCCTGGTGTTGCTCAGGCGCTTTGACAGGCTTGACCTTAGCTATAGCCAAAGAGTACCAGGCAAGGTACTGATATACTGCCATCTTCTTTTGGGCAGCTCACAGCAGGATTCACCAACAAGGGCATCAGAATCCCAACCACATGTCCCAGGTGGACCCACTAATGAGACCCCAGTTTCCTCAAAATAGACTGCTTTCTGGCCAAACTCGTCTCCTTGTCAAACATTTCTTTCTTTTGATGGGCAGACCTTTTACCCTTTCATTAAGAGATGTGGTGCAGTGAAGGCCAACCCCCGGCAATATGTTAACAGAGTATTAACTTTTTTGTATTTTAGGGAAAAATATTGGTTGGAATAGATTTAGTCTTGGGAAATATTTGTAAGAGGTACGAAAGCGGATGTAAGAAAGGTTAAACAACTTAAAGGAATTTCTGCGTATGGATTTAGACAGACACTGGCTTGCCACGAGGGAATGCCCAGCTACACTTGTGTGATGGGGGGACGTTTGGAGGTAAAAGTGTTAGCCAAACGGTTTAGCAGTAGAAGGGGGTGTGTCCCCTTAGGATCCTAGCCAACGAGATCACCCACCTTGGGATAAGACGTCATTGGAGGCGGACTTACACCCTCCGGGAAAATAATGAGTAAGCATAAATAGGGGTATATAACCCAGGGACCAAATTAGTAAGGGATTATTATAACAGTAATTTTGGCCAATTGCGGCTGCAGGCTATGTCAGAATGGGCACCGACTCGACACCCGGCAACGCCATCCGTCTGCAGATCCAACCCAAGTAAGTGGAACTACTCTTATCGCCATGCATAATAATTGTGACATTATTAAAGTGTAACTCTTCCAATGGGACTTGAGCTAGGAACGTTACAAAAGTGTACAGGGCGTAAGAGTGATCCAACTGAGTGATCAGAGGTAGCCAAGTGTAATGTGTAACCCGACACCAGTCGGCTCTTTTATTGTGATAGTACCAAAATGTGTATAACTGTATATTGATTGTGTTTATACTAATATAGGGTAGCATAGGGTGAGGATGTGGGTTTCTGTTGTGATTTCCTCCATTACCACATTTCGCACCCGCGCCCTCCAGCCAAGCCCGGTAAACAGTGAGCCCCTAGGCAACGAAGCAACGATAGAGGAAGCTATTCAGTCGTTTCCTTAGTCCTACCCCTCTGACTGCAGTACAAAAGGTGACAGTGGGGATACCTCCACGCCCCCCATCTCCACGGAATAACTGGTGGCATAACAAGAGACATTCAATTTTACCCTCCTAGGCCCTTCACATGAAAGCTCTGGTGAGCTAATTACTACTTCCTCTTGGCAGCAGGAACTGAGCCCTCTGGTGCAAGAGGAAGATCTTCTCCTGGGATCCTGGAGGTGGGAAGTATAGTTACTAGCATTCACTGACCCTCCACTGCTGTTCCCATAACTGAATATCAGGTGAGATTTTGCAAGTCTGAACAATGTGGAAAAGAGAAAACTCTTGACCTTACTGGGACACGAAATCCAATCCCTTGGTCGTCCAGCCCTTAGCCAGTTGCTATACCAACCACGCTATCATGGCTCCAAATTAAATGGAGACTGTCTTTCAGTAAACATGAAATGTGATGTTTTTATATGAGTGTGACCCAAGGTTTCTCATATTAACACATTGCAGACCGGACGGGCCATATGGTCCTCTACGTTTCCAAGCGTTGCGGACCAGGCGGGCCATATGGCCCTCTACGGTCACATTATGTTGCAAAACGCTATATACCGCTGTGTGGCTTCGTTGAATCGTAACTACTGCGTAGATGACCTCGGGAATGATTGCTGCCTTATCTAGTAACTCGACCAGAGTCATTTCCTCTTACAACCTAAATAAAACTGGCTTTGTTCTAATCCAAGCTTGCACGTATCAACCACGCAGCTACCAGTTCAACATGGCTCAGAGACGAAAGCAGTTGTGATCTCTCAGAGGACAGGAAATATTACATATGTTCTCCGATGAGCTATCAGATTTGCCAACTGCTTCGTCTTTAGATAGCGAGGTCATTATCAGTGACAGTGACAGTGAAGGGGGCCACAGGGCTGCCCAAAATGTGTCAAGTGAAAGTGAGAGCTCCGTTGAAAGTGCGAGTGTCGGGACAGCAATACCTACTTTCAAGGAAAGTACATATTTGTGGTACAATTAGGGTGAACAGAGGCCTCCCTCCAAATCTGAAAGAGGAATGTAAACGCCTGAAACGTGGCGACACCGCATTCAGGAGGAAGGAGGACATTCTTCTTCAGTCCTGGAGGGATACTCGCGTTGTGAATATGGTTTCCACTATTCACAATTCGAGCATGGTCGATGTTCAAAGACGACACGGGCAAGTAAAGAAGCCTCTTTGTATTTCTGAGTATAATATGTTCATGAAAGGAGATGATAGGGCCTACCAGTTCTTGGCCTATTATTCCCTACCTAGGAAAACAGTAAAATGGACAAAGAAAGTTGCACTGTGGCTTATAGACTGTGCAATTTTCAATTCATTTACAGTTTTCAAAAAGGTAAACAGAAATTCTACTTTGAAATACAAAGCATTTCTGTTGAAACTGGCAAAAGCTTGGGCTACTGACGTCACGGTGGCGGCAGTACCTATGTCAGACACAGATGTAGTGCAGCCGGGGCCATCTGTTCACACCTGCCGGAGGCCTCAAGTAGACCCCCCTGGCCGACTCTCTGGTGATATGCGGAAACATATTCTCGTGAAAATTGTGAAGAGTGAATATTGCAAGAAGAAAACACCCTTCTAGGCAGTGCCGTGTGTGCGCAGAGCACAACAAGAAGAGTAGAACTGCCTAAATGTGCAACTCTGCATAATGCCTCTTCACAAAGGGGAATGTTTCCAGAGATATCACATGCGCAAGCACTTCTAGGAGCTGTGGTAAGTGTTCTCAAAAAATTTCAGTTCATAAAATTAATTAGGAGATTTTATATTAATTTTTAAAGTGAACAGTGCACAAGTTATGGTAGTAGGTTTAAAAACGGCGGTCCCCAGGGTGATTTAAATGTTTAAACCACCGGTCTGCAATGTGTTAAGGGACTGAGAATATCCAAGAACAGTGTTGACAAAACATTTGAAATTAAGAGGAAGTCACATGAGGATATAAAAAAAATAGAAAAATGAGAAGATTCATAACATATCCTTCACCAAATATTTTCATAATGTTCACATAAAGGAGAATGAGATTGGGAGGGAATAAATTCATACAATATTTTGGTCAGAAAATCTGAAATAGATCCCCTTGGAAGAATGGCTCAGGATAGGGAACAATGGTGGGCTATCCTGAAAATAATACTAAACCTTTGGATTCAAAAAGGCTGGCAATTCTTTTGACCTGAGCAACTTCTTGTGGATTCTGATAAACAAAGCTAGTTATAAAACTGTTATTTAGTTTTAATTTGGGACATAAACATGAGATCTGGCATTCTCAAAGGAGAGACTACCATCTTCTCGAAGATGACAGTAGAGACTGGTACATATTTATGGATACAACTATAAGATACTGCAGTGGCAACAGTACTGTGACTGCCAAAAGTCTTAAGTTCAATCAGAAATTCTTATTGAATACACCACTAAGTGTCCAAAACAAAATGATAAGTTTTGTTATTCATATTATCTGACCATAATGGTTTCATATCGAAATGATTATACCTGTAACAGTTGATCCAAATATCCTAATTACTGGGACTTGTTCAACTTCCGTTCCACGAAATTCTGAATAACTCACATCCAGTTCATGGATGGGAGGACTCATATAATGATCAGCCAAAACAAGACGCACAGAGAACATCATTCAAGAGACTTCAGCATCACTTTGCTCATAAAACCTGCAAGGCAAAAGATATTGGTTTCTTTACATATACACTTCTTTCCCACTGCCATACTACGAGAAGCGTTCCGTATATAATGCCCCGTATTTTTTTCAATGAAAACTACAACAGATACAGAAAGCATAATAACGCATGCAGTAACAGGAGCAAAACACAACACAGAACACGATACACAAATGTATGTAGGAAGAATGCTCACATAAAAGAGGATTGGTGTAATTCGCATGTTTGAGTGTGACGCAGGATGAATCCTGAAAAGTTTTATTATTTAGAATTCATCGACATATATGACGAATATAGATTTTAGTCATTTTAGTATGAAGACATCATGGCATGGAATACAATAGTTTAACGTGCATAAAGACACCTGAGGATGGCACATTAGTGCTGAAACATAAGTGTGGAAGTGAAGAATAAAGTGAAAAAGTGTATACACTGTAAGACGATTAGCATAAACTATGGACATGAATCAGTGTAACAGGACGCTAAAATATAATATTTTTAAAATATAACATAATAACGCAGTTAAATAGAGCAAGATTTCAGCTACTTACCGTTATTTTTCCACATAATCAACACCATTCTTTATGCACTTTTGCCAGCGATGTACAAGAGCCTGTATGTCGCGCCCGTAAAAGTCTGCGCCAGCAGAGCCTAGCCACTTTCTTACAGCTGCAATGACAGCAACATTGTCTGGAAAATACTGCCCACGTAGTCCATCTTTCATAGGCTCAAAGAGATGGAAGGCTCAAGGTGCTAAATCGGGGCTATAAGGTGGATGTGGTAGAACAGTCCTGCCAAACTTTGCAATGTGCGTGGTGGTCGCCAAACTGGTATGAGGTCTAGAGTTATCATGCTGCAAGCAAAAGGTTGTCTGCTTCTCTGGCCTGACTCAGGAAATGCAGGCTTTCAGCTTAGTCAGCGTCGTCTTGTAGCATTCAGAATTGACAGGCTCACCAGGCTCCAGGAAATCCAACAAAATCACACCCCGCCTATCTCAAAAGACCATGCACATCACCTTCCCTGCCAATGGCTGTGTCTTGAACTTCTTCTTTCTTGGGGAATCCAGATGTCACCACTCCATGGACTGTCTTTTGGATTCCGGCTCGTAGCGGTGACACGTCTCATCTCCGGTGATGATGCTGTCCAGAAACTTGTCACCTTCAGCCTCAAACTGGTGCAACAGGTCCTGACAGACTTCCTTTTGATGAGTTTTGTGGTCCTGTGTAAGCATCCGCGGGACCCATAAGGAACAAACTTTGCGATAATCCAGNAGAAATCCAGCTTCCCCAACATCGTTTCCAATGCATTACAGCCGATATTAAGCCATGCATACAGTTCCCTAGTCGTTCTCCGCCAATCTGTACAGATGAGCTGATCGAGGTGCTGCTCATTGTGAGGGGTGGCAGCCGAGCAGGGATGCCCATGGCATGGCTTGTCGTGCACTTCACTTTCACCACTGTTGAAACGCACTACCCACTGCCTCACTGTGCTGACATGCACTGTATCATCTCCGTACACCTTTAGCAAGTGTCAATTGATGTCAATGGGTGCAATTTGTTTGGCAATGAGAAATTCAGTAACACATCTCTGTTTCGTATGCACTTCTATGTCAGACACCATTTTGGTAGACTGCTCTGCTGTCGCTATTTGTCGCACGATAACCAAACTAACAGTACACTGGCGGGAAGGTTCAACCTTTACTACAACACCACCAACATCCAGCTCAGACGTTACATATTAACACAAAAAATAGGAGGCATTATATATGGAACATCTTCGTATTATGTGACCTCTGGTTCCTTACACGATATACACATGCATATGTATAATTTAATGGTTTCTTATTAACTTAAAAAGTGTTATAAAATATGTTCTGTCAACATTTAAAGTAGGCTTATTACTATAACACCTAAACTATGGCTTCATATGTCAATTTATGTCTTGTTTGAAGATTTGTACAGGCGAAGATATTTAAGAACCTGTCACCAAATATCAGAGGATTACAGATGGAAAGTAAAACTTATGTCAACATTTTCCATGCACATTTGGACCTACAGCAAAACTAACATGCCCAAAGGCCAACAGATCACAAACCAAACCTACCTAGATCACAAAATATGTAAAAAATGTCACCATTGTCACATGTTCCTTGCACCTTCATCTCCTGGAAGTTCCTTTTTCGAAATAGGACACACTTTAACTTACAATTTTACACCCCAGTCACCTGTACAATGTGTCTATGGGGCTTTTGAGGGAAATATTCAAGCCTAGTACAAATTACATTCAATCTCTCCAGTAAGCAACTGGCATTTTGAACTGGTTCTTTTTGCCCAGTAATGACCTTGCCTGTCTGAATAGTTTTTCCCCATATAGAACTGTAACATCCTGAAATTTAAGCCAGAATATTCACTTCACTTTTCACATGGGTAATACAGTCACATGTTTGGGTGACTGAGACGTGGGTTTGGATTGAATCGTTTTTATTGGATCATCACCAGTTGTAACTACAAATAACTGTAACTCATTCAAAAATACTGTACTTATAACACACGTCAGTTCTTCTATTCACTTCTGTTGTAAGCACTTTGCACCAGTCTCTCAACTGTTTTGAACTCTCCTGAACTCTCCACACACACACTGACTTAACCTCAAACAGACACTTGTTATATAGGGGCCACACAGACCAGACAGATAAAGTCATGTGATTTTACTGTTGCAGTGTGACGGCATGGTGTCTGTGTAGAAGTCTGTTTACTGAGCTGTTGCCTAGCAGCAGGTTGCATAACCTCATTGTTCCATTGTTGCATGCATGTATTGCATGTGTTTACCAGTCTGTTACCTAGCATAGGATAGGATCATCATGGCGGACACTGAAGGACATAATGAGAGATGCCTCTCTTCCTTCGTTAACATAAGTAGTGTTGAACAAGATGGAAAGTGCCTTGGTTGCTCACAATTAAGACTTGAACTAAATAAAATTAAAACTGAATTACTATTGTATGAAAAAATAATAAAAGTGCTACAAGAAGAGTTACATCAGAAAAATCTCCTAAACAATGTCGAATCTGCAGTGCAAGATTATCTCTGATAAGTATTTCAGACTTCAATCAGTACAGGAAGGACGGACCCAATCAATATCCAAAAATTACAAGAAAAGTATAACTTTAACAGCAATTTGATACAAATATTCCCCACTACAACAAACAGATATGAGGTCCTTTCTAACTTCCAAGAAGATGAATCAGTTAATGTAACAACTAAAGTCACGAAAACCCAGAATTCAAATAACTGTCCTCAAGTAAAATGAAATGTTCAGATAGTCAGAGGTGTAGAGAAAAGTGAACATAAAGTGCTGATATTTGGGGATAGTCATGCAAAAAAATGTGCATTGGAACTTTCTCATAAACTTGATCATAAGTATGAAGTCTATGGTTTTATTAAACCAGAATCTGTAACCAACGAGATCATCAGGACTGCAGAAAGCAGGATGATGTGATGATTCTCTGGACACGAGCTAATGACATCAGCATAAACAACTCTAAAGAAGTTTTAAAAAATTTATCTTACTTTATGAATGCAGATAAGAAGGTGAATATTATTTCAATAAATACATTACCTAGACATGATCTCATGCCTATGTCTTGTGTTAATAATGAAGTAGTTAAATTTAAAAGACAATTTAAGAAAATAGTTAAGTTACATGGAAATGCTGAGTTTCTAGAAGCAGAATTACCAAGAAAGCACTTCACAAGACATGGCCAACACATAAACAATAATGGCAAAGATCTAGTCTCCATAGAATTAGCTAAGTCACTAAAACAGTGTTTAAAAAAGAAGGAAACTTGTCCTATTCAAATGAACTGGAAGGACGTCAAGCTAGTTATTCAGAGAAAAACTGTAAAAAACATTGAACCTGTCACTTTTATGGATTCTCTAAGATTAACCAAGGGTGATACTGGTAAAAGTAGAAACGGGGAAGTCTTATCCCATGCTATGGACCATGAAATGCAGGCCGAAGAAGTAGGTGGAATATTTGAAGACAGAGTACAAGTAGGTAGGTCTTCAAGAAGGCATAACAAAGCCACTATTACGAAAAGTAAGGATTTCTTATGGTAGATGCAAATTCAAAAAGACCAAAGTATTCGAGGAATAAGTGTAATAGGAGTGATGACATAAATAGATCCAAGATATTTCATCAAAATATAAGGGGTATAAAAGGCAAAATTAATGAGTTAATGATTTCTCTACTAATGATGAACCTAGTATAATATGTCTATCAGAACATCACCTAAATGTCCAGGAAATGGATGTCACGCATATACTTAAATACAAATTTGGTTCTGGTTATTGAAGGAAGAAATTTAAAAATGGTAGTGTTTCCATATTCGCCCAAGAGGATCTAAATTTCATTCCTTTAAACCTACAAAAATATTGCAAGGAAGGTGATATGAAATCACTGCTGTTGAAGCAGAACTAAACGATGAAAAGATAATTGTTCTTTGTATATACAGATTCCCATTAGGTGATTATGATTTCTTCTTAAATAAACTGGATTGTGTACTAAATTCTCTCCTCAAATATAACTCAGAATTTATAATATGTGGGGATATAAATATAATTACTTGGAAATTAATAACAGGAAATCAAAACTAGATACCCTATTAAATACCTACCTTATCGATACTGTTCAATTTCCCACAAGAATTATTAATTCAGCTACATTAATAGATAATATAGTGTGACATGTTGCGCAATGGAGGACAATCCCCCCCCTACCCAGCAGTGACGTGGTGGGTGAGTCAGCGCTCTGTGGCCCCCCCCCCTCCATACTGTGACATGGCACGCAACACCGCTGTCGACAAGGCGCCAGCCAACAGTGGTACCGATTACGTAACAGGCAAGCGCTGCGACTATATAAGGGAACTAAACAGCCCCCGCAGTCAAGTTGAAATGTGGCCGTCGCCGAGTTCAGTTGTCGCAGTTAGTTAAAAGTG